ACAAAGTACCCTGCTTTGACGTAAATTCTGTAGTATATATAAACTAATGACTACTACTATAATGGATTTGAGACCTATAAAGCACATTAGACACACTATGAATATATATACAAATATTGGGCCAAAATAATGGGTAATTTCCCAAAACTGGGGCAGACAGAATCTGGAGCAGCGGTTCATTGTAACCAATCAGCTTCCAAATTTAGCTTGTTCGGTTAAAGAGGAACTTCAGTCATTTATAAAGAGAACTGAAAGTCAGCAACAAAATATACTATATCTGTTGACTTTTAATAAACAGGTACGCTCCAGTCTAGGAGTCCAGAGCTGTCTGCATCCAGGTCAGTTTTTTGACTGTTTTTGGGTCCTTGGCATAGCCATCTTGGCTGTGGGAAGCTGACTGTGACTTCCCGTTGTTTCACAGCCAGCTCCCCACTGTGCATGCGTGGGATGAGCTGCACTTGCAGACTGGTCCTGCAGTCTCCTTGGATGTGTGAAGTGTACCAGGAGGTTGCAGACTTTTAATAAACAGGTACGCTCCAGTTTAGGAGTCCAGAGCTGTCTGCATCAAGGTCAGTTTTTTTACTGTTTTCGGGTCCTCGGCATAGCCATCTTGGCTGTGGGAAGCTGACTGTGACTTCCCGTTGTTTCACAGCCAGCTCCCCACTGCGCATGCGTGGGATTCGCTGCACTTGCAGACTGGTCCTGCAGTCTCCTTGGATGTGTGAAGTGTCCCAGGAGGTTGCAGACAGGGAGGAACAGGCCAAGCTTCCACTCTTATCACCTAGGCAAGAAAAAGTGGGAGAGGGTACCTGTTAGAAATAGGTACCCTCTCCCAGAAATAAAAAAGCAGTTTACAATAATGCGGGGGGGAATTGCAGAACTACCTATTTTAAGTGAAATCCTGCTTTAAACTTTGAAAATTAAAGTTAGAAGCTGATTGGTTGCCCTGCATACTCTTAAATTCCCCTCACTTACTGTAGGTGAATTCAAAGTAGACCTAATGACAGATTTCTGGTGGTAGTTCCCTTAAGAACTACCTGCATCCTAACTGACGCAAGCATTTGTTCCAGTGTTGGTAACATTACTGACATGTGCAGCAAATCCATGTAGTTATTACAACTGCCACTTTAAGAACCAGTTGCTATGGTAGCGACAAATTCTTAAAGAATTACCTACAGTTCTCAGATTTGGAAACTGGCATTAAGACCAACTCTGAGCTGGTGTACAGGAGATATGCCAGTTCTACTGCAGGCCATGCCTGTGCTGGGAAGCTGCCATGTACGTGAGAGCTCTCTGGACCTTTTTAGCTGTCACCTGGAAGATTCTCTGTTCAAAAGTGACATAAACAAAGGTGATGTCAGTACTCAATTATGGCAATGCCAACATTTGGGAAATGGTCTGTCACTGGGTGGATGGACTCTGATAGGGAACAAAGAGACTAGTTCCCCATCAGGTGTGCTTTACTTTTGATTGAGACGGAGCATAGCAGTGGGCAAATTCAAAAGCTACTATTGGACTTAATGGCAGCTATAGATCCACCCACTGCCATGAGCTGCCATCCTACCCTCATTACAAAACTCATCAGCTATGCTCTTGATCAGTGTGAAGAGTACAGTGGCCAGGGAGGGTGATCTCAGGGCAGACAGAGACAGATTCATTTACCTGCCTCTGCAAGGAACATGAATCGGGTGCAAGCACTGACATTTTCTGTGCTGGGCCCCGATGGAATTCTTAAGGTTCTCTACACCAACCATTAGGAATTCCCCTAACTGTGTCTGGGAAGCAGCTAAGTAGACTTTAAACATTTTTTTTTTTTCCTTTTCTAAAACAAACACAGCATATTGTTTTGTTAAATTTGTGTTGACTACTGTTATGGAAAATTTGTTTTTTAAAATTTTGTTTTGATTATGTCTTCCTTTGGTTTCTAATTTTCAACTTTAGAATATACTGATTTTGTTATATCAGTTACAATATTTGTATTACCTGGTAATAGCAAACACTTTATACTTGTGCTAATTCCTTCTCATTCTCAACAAACTGTAGAATAACTTATATTTTGCCTTTTCTTTCCCTGTAGTCATTTTTTTTAACTAAAAGAGAAAAGACGTATTACTTACCTACTCTGTACAAGGATATTGCACAGAGCAGCCTGAACCTCCTCTTCCGGAGTCCCCTGCCGGTGGTGTCCACTCCTCTTCTCTGCGTGCCTCCTAAGCAAGCTGTTTCCTATGGTGGCACATATGCAGGTACACTCCTGTGCCGGGCTGTGTGTGTCCATTGACACACATACAGCATGGCAAGGTACCATCCCCAGTTAATTTCTCACTGGATTTGACTGACAGGAGCAATTGCTCCCACTACTCTCAGTCAAGCCTGTGAGAGAGAGGAGAGAAGACCTGTGGGTAGGCACAGTGCTGGACTGATACAGCTACTAGAATGTAGCCACTAGAACATCTACTATAATTTTTTTACCTTAATGCATAGAATTTTTTGGCAACAAACCAGTGGTAAGATACGTTGTAACATACTTTAATGTGATAAATGTATTCTTAGACCAGCTGTATACAGATCAATGTATCGTCAACATGATGGGTCTGGTGGGTTTCCTCAATACTAGCACCTGCTTTTACTTTTAATCCATGACTTGACCAACATAAAAAAGTAGAGATGGTTCACTTTGCTAAGTGAATGCTGTCTGAGTTTATCAACTCAGGACAAGGACAAAAAAGAAGTTAGGCACCAGGGAGAATAACATCCTCCAGTCTGGAGGTATGTGCTAATCAGCAGACAATCCATCTTCACGCAGATATGCAACAAATCACTAGAGCAGCATGAAGTTCCCTTCTGTTTCAAATGCTCAGCATGAAGTTCCCTTCTGTTTCAAATGCCCCACAATCATTCCTGTCCCAAAGAATCCCATCATCACAGGATTAAATGACTTCAGGTCCATTGCCTTGACATCAGTACTCATCGAGTCATTTAAGAAACTAGTGTGGACCCACCTAAAGGACATCACAGTTCCCCTGCTTAACCCCCTATGTTTCGTCTATAGCTGGGGTCTCCACACTTTGTACACATAGGGCCAGTTTACTGTCCATCAGACTTTTGGGGGGCCATTGGGAGTAGAATTTGTCCCGGCATCAGTGGGAGTAAGCAACACAACTTTGGTATTAGGTGGAGGAATAGCGCCCCTTCATTGGTGTAAGTGGGAAGAATACTGGCCAATTGTTGGTGTCAGTAGGACGAATAGTGCCTCATCATTAGTGTCAGTTTGAGGAATAATGTCCTATTGTTGGTGTCATTGGGGGGGGGAAATAGTGCCCCATCGTTGGCATTGATGGTAGGAATAGTGCCCCATCCTTGGTGTCGGTGGCAGGAATAGTGCCCCAACATTGGTGTCAGTGGGAGGAATAGTATCCTATTGTTGGTGTCAGTGGGAGGGAAATAGTGCCCCATCAATGGTGTTAGTGGGAGGAATAGTGCCCCATCATTGGTGTCAGTTTGATGAATAGCTCCCTACTGTTGGTGTCATTGAGGGAAAATAGTACCCCATCGTTGGTGTAGGTAACAGGAATAGTGCCCCATCAATGGTGTCAGTGGGAGGAATAGTGCCCCATCATTGTAGTCAGTGGGAGGAATAGTGCCCCATCATTGTGGTCAGTGGGAGGAATGGTGCCTCATCGTTGGTGTCAATGGGAAAAATAGTGCCTCATTGTTGACGTCACTATCAGTAATCACGCCCCATTGTTGGTAGGAGGAAAGGAATAGTGCCTTGTATCAGTGGGAGGAAAAGTGCACCTAGGGCCGGATAAAAGCAAGCAAAGGGCCATATTCGGCCCCCGGGCAGCATTTTGGAGACCACTGGTCTATAGAGTAAACAGTTCAGTGGAGGATACTGTACAACTGGGGCTGCACTACATCCTGCAATATCTGCACTGATCCTGTTTGTGGATTTCTCCCAAATGTTTGGTTCCCAGCTCCACCTGACAGGGGATTACCAACTTCTTGACAGACATGAAACAGCAGGTAAGGCTGAGCAAAGTCATATACACTGTACAGCTTTGGGTCTGCTGGTAATGGAGCTCCCCAAGAATGTATGCTCTCCCCACTACACTTTTTCTTCTAAACCAACAACTTCAGGAACCACACAAATATTTTGCGAATATACCAGGATGAAGGTGCTTTTAAGCAACAGTTTATCTAAATATGAAACTTTTTTTTTCCTTTTAGCTTTGAATGAAGTAGAAAAGGATTAAACCTCCTTTTTAAGTTTTTATTTATGTCCATGGCACTGCTGAGTAGAATCAACCTCTCTATTTGTCCTGATGAATGTGGTTACTAAGACAGAAAATGGTGTGAAATTCAAAATTATACAGTTGTCACCAGAACAAGAGATGAGAGGAAATCTTCAAATGCGGTCACCTGTTTGAATTACAACCTTCTAAGAGAAGAATTCCTCTCGCTTCGTAGAGATTTCCCTTCTGGGACAGCAAATAGGAAAGTTAAATCTCAATGTGACAGACAGTATAAAATATACTTACACGGGTTCACCATTCTATGCTCTATCCACAAATAAAAAGTCCGTATACAATGCATACACTCTGATTAATTAATTATGTGTTCATCTTTTGCTAAATTCAGTAAAACTGAAGATTAATATAGATGTTATGCTATTTAATTATCACCCCAGGTGTATAAAAATGAAAAAAAAAAATATGTATAGATACACAAGATCCATAGAGCTGTATTTACTGAGATGTTTTAAGGCTAACACTACACTAAAAAAATCTAACTTTCAGCTGAATGAACGCTAAAATGCTGTGTAACCAGATGAAATGTCTTTCACAGCATTTTAGCTTTTAGTCATTTGTCAGTTGTCACATGCTATATTGAATATCCATTATTTCTCCAGGCAGATAGTTCGTGGACAGACTCCGCAAAGTTTGTTACATCATAATCTTTCATATTGTAAAGATCACTTCAACGAGTGGGGAGAAATGGAGCAATGCCCTTTTCCACAATTTTCTGGCCACAAACCAGCGGTAAGATATGTTGTAAGATACTATAATGTGATAAATGTACTATTAGACCAGCTGTATCTGGGGGGGTTCCTCCATGCTAGCACCTGCCTTTACTTTTAATCCCTGACTTGACCAGCATAAAAAAGTAGAGATGGTTCACTTTGCTAAGTGAATGCTGTCTGAGTTAACAACTCAGGACTAGGACAAAATATAAATTAGGCACTGGACAGAATAACATCCTCCTATTTGGAGGTATGTGTTAATCAGCGGGCAATCCATCTTCATGTAGATATGCAACAGTTCACTAGAGCAGCATGAAGTTCCCTTCTGTTTCAAATGCTCAGCATGAAGTTCCCTTCTGTTTCAAATGCTCCACAATCATTCCTGTCCCAAAGAATCCCATCACCACAAGATTAAATGAGTTCAGGTCCATTGCCCTGACATCAATACTCATCAAGTATTTGAGAGACTAGTGTTGACCCTCCTAAAGGACCTCACAGGTGCCCTGCTTGACCCCCTGTGGTTCATCTATAGGGTAAACAGTTCATTGGAGGATGCTGTACACATGTGGCTGCACTACATCCTGCAATAACTTGCTACCTAGGCATGTATGCGCTGATCCTTTTTGTGGATTTCACCCAACTTTGTTATGCCTAGCTCCACTTGCCAGTGGATTACCAACTTCTTGACCGACAGGAAACAGCAGGTAAGGCTCAGCAAAATCATATACAGCACCCGATCAGATAGTAATGGAGCACACCAAGAATGTATGTTCTCCCATTACACTTTCCCCTCAACTTCAACAACTTCACATCAGGGAATTTATCTGTTAAGGCAATAAAGTATGCAGATGACCCAGTCTTCAGCCTCATCAGAGATGTCAGCATACAGACACGAAGTAGAACTGCTGGCCTTATGGTGCTGTTGTAACATCCTGGAGCCAGGGAGATCATAGTGGATGCTCTCCCACAATGTCTCCTCCTACCTTACACAACAGCATTGTTTTGACTGCAGACATCTTTGGATTTCTTGGTCTATAATTTCCAAGGACCTTAAATGGATATCCAACATTAAAATGATTCTCAAAAAAGCCCAGCAAAGAATGTACTTTCTTCCTTTGCTCAGAAAGTTGAACCTGCCTGAAGATCTGCAGATGAATTTATACCGCAGTAACCCACATGGAAGAAAAATATATTTGAAATATATTTTAAAAATATTCTTCCCAAATATATTGACATATATTTGAAATGCTACAATTTTGGCCATATTCAATACAGTATTTTAAAAAAAAAAAAAATATATATATATATATATATATATATATATATATATATATATATATATACTGTACTGAAGAATATATTTTTAAAAAATATATTTTTAAAAATATATATATCTTTAAATATATTCTTCAGATTTTTTTTCACATATAAAAAAGTAATTTTAACATATATTTTTACATATATTTGTAAATGCATTCCAAAAATATAGATTTGTATTTTTAAAGACATACAGTATATTTGAAATGTATTAAAAAAATTATACATATATATATATATATATATATATATATATATTGAAATATATTGAATATGGCCAAAATCGTAGCATTTCAAATATATGTCAATATATTTGGGAAGAATATTTTGAAAATATATTTCAAATATATTTTTCTTCCATATGGGAATCAAGTTGGTTCTTAGCACTTCCATCACTGTTGGGTTTGGTTCAGCCTCCATACAGGATAGGAACAGACTAGAGTGGACAGAAAAAAAAATCATTGGTGTGGACCTGTTTACAGTCCAGGACTTATACAACTCCAGAGTCAGAAAACATGCATAGAAGATCATTGCAGACCCTAAACAACCTGAATATTGTCTGTTTCAATTGCCCCCTGTGGTAAGTGATACAGATTACTGTACATAAGGACAAATAGATTTAAACCTTGTACACACAGGCTGAATATCATCCAAAATTGGTTAGTTAGTACTGCGATCTCTCAGTTTTTTTTTCTTTCGTGCAGCCCTCTGGGTTGAACAAATAAAAAAACCTTCTAATGTGTACTGACCTTTAAGAACAGTTTCTTCCACCAAGCTAACGCTGATGAACATCTAAAGTCTCACTTTCAAAATGACCAATTTGTGCTGTCTGTACTACTTCCGCTTTTAGATGTTTACATATCCCACAGTGAGACATTGCTTTCTTTTATCAGAATATACAGTATAATTCTGTAACACAACAGTGTCTACTCATAGAGCCTAGTGAAATTTTGACACTTTAAACACTAGATACTCTTTGAACCAAAGACAAATTCCTTGTATGCTATATGTACCTGTCCAATAAAGTTGATTTTGATTCTCATTCTAAATATGGTGAAGCATGTCTTCACTCGCCCAATGATGTGCTTGAAAACATCCAGTTTTTTTTTTTCTGATTCCGCTTGCCTCAAAGTGAACACAGCTTTGCCTTACCTCAGTGAACATTTAATTTGTCTAGATAACAGCCTCAACACCTTTAATAAATCAACCCCATTGTCTTCATTAAACTGGTGCATAGGGAAAATATAACTTCTGACTTGGGAGAACTATATTTGGAAATTGTAAATAGAGCCTATATATCTATAGGCAGCTACAGTATAAAATATATAATAGGATATGGAATGCTCCTTCAAAATGCTGCTCCTCCTCCTTAGTCCTGGACTACATAATTTGTTTGTGGAAAGAGTAAAGGGTTTTGAAACAACATCTATGTGGCTAAGTAGTTAATATGGATTGCAAAGTCAGCTAGCTGAATATGTTTAACAAACTATTTCTTTTCTTAACAGACTTGGAAATGGGTCATTTGTCCTTTAGCATTATATGCATGTGAGAGGCTAATACGTTTTTGGAGGTCTAAACAAGATGTCATAATCACAAAGGTAACTAAGTAAACATGTAAAATACAAAGGTAACAGTAAACAAGTTATTTATCCATTTCATTGGCAGTAAGAGATGCATCATCAATAACTATGAATTTTCGAAACAATTCTACTATATTGATAGGGTTGTAGAGCTTCTCAAAGATTTTAGAAGACAGTTGGCATTTCTAGCTGTTTCCCAGCTCTCATAGCTTTGGTTGATGTGCATATGATCGCTAGGGATGAGTTCAGTTCATGAAGTGTTTATCAAACCCATCATACTGTTTCATTCCCCACGCTGGTCTGCCCTTGGTCCCCTGGAACACATTGTCCTCTCCTTCTCTTGACCAAGAGAATCCAGAGTATTAAAGTACTGGAGCCATAGTACTCCATTGAGCTCCTTCTTTGAACTACATTTCCCATGAGCTATTGCGGCCTGTTTAATTCCTCCCCTGATTGGATCCAATCTGCACTGCTGGGGGGGGGGGGGGGGGGGAGTGAGCAGGAGAGGGGATTTTACATGGAGCCAGATTCTAAGTTCCAGTGGAGAAGCAATAGAAGCCAGCTGCATACACCTCCTGCTGTATATAACGATCCCAGGAGTGGGGGTAGAAGGCAACTCACAGCCAGCAGGTGGGGGGGGGGGGCATGAATGGTTGAGGATCGCACAGCTGGTGGCAGTACCCAGCTACACATACAGTGGGAGAGAGGGTCCTTTTTTATGAACACTAATCACACCAATCCTTTAAATGACATGCTTGGGAGGTGCTTTTAGGCTGTACATGCTGTTATGAAGCATTCTAGCTTTAACTACACTGTATTCTGGCATTAGATATTTTGCTTGTTTGATCTTTTTTTTCACATTATTGCTTAGAATAAATGCAGCAGCAACAGCCCAATCAGATTCATTATAACTTGGAAGAACTTTTTAGCCTACTAGGTAGATTTAAATAATTTGTATCCAGTGGTAATAGACCTGAATTGGTTGGTGAAAGCCACGACAAATCTAAAAGCTATAGAAAGGTTTGCCCTTACAAAAAGATAAAGCTGAAGCCCTCATCTTCATAGAAATTGGCCAGTGGCACAACCTTTTTAAATAGTAGCATTTGTGAACTTTTTTGAAGCAGCACACTGCATTATCTTAAAAGTATAATAAAATGCCAAATCAGAGTGCACAGAAATACTTGAAAACCACAACCTCACATTCCTGAACTCCCATACAATCCCAATTTTATCAATTATTCCCTAAAAATTCAAATTACAGTCTTCAGGTATGTAATTGGTAGAAACTAGCTAGCATCAGGACAATGGTGATGCTGGTAAAGAGGAGAAGTGTTGGGGGACTGGCAGTGAAGAGGAGGAGGGTTTGGTGCTGGTTGAAAGGAGGAGGGAACTTGAGGTGGCATCAAGGGGAGGGTGCTAAAACTGCTTCACTCTGATAAGGCAATACAAAGAAACTCTTTGCTGAATTTCTTGATGGTGGCTGTATCCCCTGCACTAGAATCATAGCTCCAGGGGAAGACCTAAGGCCATAGGCTGCCTGTCCTTCCTCAACACAGGAAAATCAGGCAGTAATGAACATAGGAGATAAATCGTGATAGCGATTAAGTGGAGGAGAAGTTTGGGGTGCTGGCAATAAGAAGAAGGAAATTTCACAGTGTCACCGTCCATGCTTGGGCTCAAAATGACCCGCTTTGAGAATTTTGTGCAAATAAACTATTTACTGTATTTCCAGATGGATGGTGACTGGATCTCTGTAGGTATAACTGCAGAGGAAAACCTAAGGGCACAAACTGGCAAACCTTCAACAAGGTGGCTTTGATTTGACACTTGCTTATCCCTACATCTGTCTTAGATGCCATTAACTTTAGAAAATCACCTTTATTAAAAAAAACTAAGTTAGGAGTGAAAAAGTGAAAGGCAGAAGTTCTGAATACCGGGAGTCATTTTTTATGCTTTCTTAACAGTATTTTGTGTTTTTGATTTATTTTTTTACATTTATATTTTCATTGTAAGGCTGTCCCTGCACTGTTGGAATAAGTATGGGCAGGTACAACAATGCAACCTATCTATTAACTTTAAAAAAATGTTCTAGGCTTATAGCACAACTCGTTGCTATGGAAAAATTAAAAAATGGGTTCATTGCAAGATAAGGCCTTCAGCTCAGACTGGTCTCTCAGAAGTGATGTGGGCTGCAAGGAGTTCTCTTGCTGTTATTTGCACATGGTTGATCTATAACAGCTTTTCAATTTGGCCACAACTGCATTCCTGGGCTCTTCAGACAATGTGAAGAGTACTGATAGTAAAATGGAAAGGGTATTGACATTTCAAAGAAGCTGAAAGTCCCACTCAAGGACTCCAATGAAACAGAGTAAGAAATAATACTTAACACAAACAAACAAAATTGTAAAGCAGATTAGTGAGAAATATGTCTTATTGCAGCCATCAAAAACGATTTAGCTAGTACTGAAAGGTGATTGCAGCCGTATTAGTGCACTTGCGACAATAAAAAAAAGTATCACGTCAGTACTCAATTGTTTCTGTCGCTAGTACTGAAAAAAATTATGCACAGTGATTCAATAACAATCAAATTGTATATGATTTAATAGCAGCCAATCAAGAAGATAACTAAAGTACAAAAATATCAGCTGAGGTGAAAACTACTGCAAAGCTTCCTATAGTAAATGAACACATCTTGCAAATTGAGAACAGAAGATTGGTGATTTATATATGAAGCTGATATCTGCAATGTATCTCTTAGGTTATCAAGCATCCTTCTGGAGTTTTGGAGATTCAAATGAAGAAACGAGGTTTTACTATGCAACCAGGACAGTATATTTTTCTTCAATGTCCTTCTGTATCACACTTAGAGTGGCATCCATTTACACTAACATCAGCTCCTGAAGAGCCATTTTTCAGTGTACATGTGAGAGCTGTTGGAGACTGGACACAAAACCTTATCACGGAGTGCGTAGCAAAAAGAAATATCCACCAGAACACTTGGCAGCTGCCTAGGTTTGTTATTTTCTCATAATTTATAATCTGGCTACACGGTATATATATTCTGTCAATTTTCATACTTTTTTGCTCTTGCTAACACTTTTATAGTAGCCGTATGACTGATTGTTATCTTTCTTTTTCAATTCCAAACACAAAACAAAAATATGTCATTTGAGATAAGGTATGGCCAAAAAGAACCAAAATGCCCTTTGTTCTGTCCTTGCTTCACGTTTCCCTGTGTGTAATTTGGCATGCAGCTAAACCCTCCTATTCTGCAATAACTATATGTTTTCACCTCACAGAGTGAGGTGAAACTATTAAGAAAAAAAAAAACAAGAAGTACATATATTTAATTTAAGACAATACAGAAAACACAATGAATAGTTAGGCTTTAACTATAAGAAAGTACCAGTCTACAAGCGATGCTGCATTTAGGGGATGCAAAGAGATGCAAGTTCCAGTCCAAAATGTGCTCAGATAACTGGTTCCTTCTATTCCAGTCTCTAAGATGGAATCTGGGTTGAACTAAGCTGTATCTGAGCACCACAAATTAAAAATGACATTTAATTCACTTTTTATATCCAAACCAAAGCATCTATGTCTCCATGCTTTACTTTGTTGAGGAATCACTTTGACCCCCCCCCCCCCCTTTCTTGCTGTGTCCATCTTGAGTAAGAGCTTGTTTAGCATTTACTTCCTGGAATCCATCTGCCCTTTGCTCAGACATGCAGGCAGAAGGGCATGCTTAACTCAGAAACTAGGAAAAGTGATGTAACATTCTTTTGCTTCCTCTGTGTGATGAGACACCGACTATAAAAACACCATCCTTTATAGGTGCAATGCCAACAAAAACTAAATTAGGCAGTTGCCCCTTAAAGTGCAAACTACCACTCACAACATGTAAAAATGAAATAAAGGTAGGAGCTCGTCATAACTCAATAAATAATTCCGTGCAGTAATAAAGAGAAATAAATACCAACATGCAAACAAAATAAACAGTGCTAATCAATGTCCATGAGTAAATTCACAATTTCACCAATGCTCCACCACCGTGCCCAGAAAAAATGCACACTCACCAAATAGTATCGGCCAACAAAGTAGCCAACAAGCATAAATGATCTTATATATATCATGTTAGATGTCCACTGTCTCCTTCCCAGGACTATAAATCCCATCCACTTCATATGCCATTAGTCATTCTCCTCCATAATAACATATCTCAGAAAAAAGTCCAAAAAGAGTGGTCATATCGCAGTAACTTTTATTACAATTGGAGAATAAAATGCATTTACATGGTAAGAGTGCCGAAGGGGGGCATCAACACATTTAGCTCACTAGGGGGATCTTTTCACACCACCACTCTTGTTTGTGGTCAGCATGCGTTCCAGCAAACTGGATGTGATGTCAGGGGACAAAACCGGACGTGACGATGCAGGTAAGACCTCCATTTTCCCGCATATTTATATGGTGTGTAAAGACTCTATAATTGGTTTGATTAAATGTCAATCAAAACCGAAAAAAATCAAATGGGAAAAATCTTGAAAGTTACTGCCAACAGCAGACAACTGTGGCAAGGACTGTTCATAAACTGCATTCCATACCAAACCTGAGAATGGTTGTTTATATTAAAAGAGCAGCTATTTACTTCACATAGAGGACACTGCTCAGAGCAACCACTCAGCTGATCAATAATTACAACTGATTGGAAGGTGAACCTTTTCACAAGTTTCTAAAAAAACCCCTTTTTTAGAATCTTGTGAGAAGGTTCACTTGGACAAGAGTGTCAGTGTGAAGAGATCCCCCTAGTGAGCTAAATGTGTTGGTGCCCCCCTTTGGCACCCTTACCATGTAAGTGTTATAGATCGCTTTTTTATTCTCCAATTTTAATAAAAGCTACTGTACTATGAGCACTCTTCTTGGGATTTCTTTCTGAGATATGTTATTATGAAGCAGAATGACTAATGGCATATGAAGTGGATGGGATTTAAAATCCTGGGAAGAAGAGAGTGGACATCTAACCCGAAATATAGAAGATAAATTACGCAGCACAGTGGCTAAATGGTTAGCACTTCTGCCTGGCAGTACTAGGGTTGCTGGTTCTAAACCCAACACCACCTCCCTGGAGTTTGTATGTTCTCCCTATGCCTGCATAGGTTTCTTCCAGGTACTCCAGTTTCCTCCCACACTCAAAAAACATGTTGGTAGGTTAATTGGCTCCTATCTAAAATTGGCCCTAGTATGTGTATGTATGAATGTAAGTTAGGAATCTTAGATTGTACACCCCTTAAGGGTTAAGGACTGATGTGAATGTATAATATATATGTAAAGCACTGTGTAAATTGATGGTGCTATATAAGTACCTGTAATAAAATAATAATGCTCATTGGCTACTGTGTTGGCCGATACCATTTGGTGAGTGTGCATTTTTTTTCTGGAGCACTGGCAAAATTATGAAGAGGATTTGGCTATGCTAATAGACACATGGTGTGTGAGGATCTTCTATGAACACTTGAATGTACTCATAGATATTGATTAGTACTATTTACTGTTTATTTTATATGATGAGACACCTATCTGACAGGTGGGAAGCCTCACTTTTGTCATTCACTGCATGTGAATGCTAGTAATACAGAGTCATGTCAGAGCTTACTGAGCTTCAAAGAGGGCAAATTGTTGGTTCTCGGTTACTGGTGACTCTGTGACTGAAGTTGCCAATATAATTGCCGTGTTACGAGGTACAGTATCAAAGGTTATGACGGCACATACAGTTTCCTGGAAAACATCGTCTGTTAAGCATCAGTGCAGTCGACATGGTCAACTGACCAAAATGAGACAAAGAGACGTTGCACAGGATTGTGACCCGGAATAAGAAAACAACTCCTGCGAAAGTGACTACAGAGGTCAATCTCATCTCCCTAACCTGGGCACAGACAGATCTAATCCACTCTATCTAAAAAAAAGGTTTGCCTTTAGTTACACTCTAATGTGTGTTTAATAAATATATCAGGCCCTTTGTCCCTGTTCAAAATGTGCCTCCTTTGTCTGCACCTGATCTTTAATTCTCAGCTTTCTGCTGAGCTAACAGATGTGATAGACACAGGTAGATGTGGGACGGACTTGAAAACCAGACAAGAATCATAGGTAACCCAGGATAACGTATTCTCTCCATACTTAGTTGTTCCCTGGATGTATACCGTCAAAGTGAGGAATAGGAAAGCTGCAACTGCTAACCTCTCTTTGACTTCATTGTTTTAGGTAATTAACCTGGAGCAAGTGAAAAAATAAAGAATTTTGTCTTTTCTACTACTTCAATGTGCTACATTACTGTTCCATGTCTATGATTAAGAGTTATTAAAACCAGACACAGCCAGACAGTGTTTTCTATAGAAGATGAGCAATGGGAGCATTCACAGTATAATAATACTGAAGACCCTTTCCGTATCTCAAGCTAGGAAGCAAGGATAGCAGAATCTGACGTAAGAAACAGAACACCCAAGATATCAGAGAATACATTAGACACTGAAGCAGAAATCTTCTAGACCAGCAATGATCAAGTCCAGAGAGGGTCTGTGCATTTCATAAAATCCGGTAAACTGTGTACTTGCTGTGCGGTATAGTGCGCTCTATTAAAAAAAAAAAGTAATGTCCATTTTTCTGGCTATTGAGGTGCATTGGCAGCATGGTAGCCCATTGCAAATGAATGGGCTGCGTTAATGCAATGCAACTTAACGTGCAAAATACTGGAAATTAACATGCTTGTGGTAACACACCACAATGGATGCAAAGGTCTAAAGGGGCCCTTAAACCCGGTCATATTTTTTCCAGGAAGACCAACAATACTGCAGTTATAGACTGTGATATAGCTCCACCTAAAAAAATTAAAAATGACATTGCAGTACAGCTCAGTGTATTAACCTGGGTTCTTTAAATCTGCAAAGTCTAGATCAGACTTCAACTAGAGCAGATCAGTCTGCTTATTTCTAGCCCATTAAATGATGACCTACATTACTTTTAGATATGAATTTTACATTTTATTTTATTTTGCATTGCAAACCTTCACATTCTCTAACTTGCATTGACATTTTTTTTTATTGCAGACTGGCTGTTGATGGACCCTATGGATCAGCAACAACTAATGTTTTTAACTTTAAAGTCAGCGTGTGCATTGCAGCTGGGATTGGAGTGACACCGTTTGCATCAGTGCTGAAATCTATTTGGTATGATTCCTGTGATCCAAACAGAACAATGAAATTAGAAAAGGTATAAACCATGCTGACAAGTTCATCCAAGTAACCACTTTATTTGAATTTGAGAACTGAGATTGGAGCAGAGTCACAGTCCCTGTTGCACTCTTGTATGGTGGTAATTACCAAGATTGTTTGTCAGCACTACTGACATCCATACAAATTTGAGAAATCAATTTTATTTTTTATTTCCCAGAGTGTCACCAGGAAGATACCTGTGAAAAATGTCCTGTAGGTACCTGCTCTTGAAACTAATCTTTTGTCAGTGTAGCACTACTCTCTTAGGAATCACTGAATTTTTGGGTCCCCCTATAGTACTGCACAGCCAGGCAACACACATTTTCTTCAGACCTTGCACACTGGAGACAGTACACAGTCCTTGAGCTTGTTTTTTTTTGTTTTATTAAGGGGTATTGAACTTGGATAGGGTTTAAGGGTGTATGGGATGTCCAAGGAACTGTGAGCTTGAGAACAAATCTCCTTAGAAATTATTAGAGATGAGCGAATTATTAAAAAATTCGATTCGGCTGATTCGGCGAATTCGCGGAATAAATTGATTCGAGTCGAATATATTCGCTGCGAATTTAACTTATAAAAAGGGTGTTTCTAGGCTTCAGAGAGCCTTTATATTAGTGCAGAACACTGTACCTTTAATTTAAATGCCCTTGGAGTCTGCTGGGGAAGAGAAATAATACTGTCAGTCAGTATGACATGCAGATGAGTGCCGTCGATCTTAGAATCACCGCACACTTCACTCATTTGGGCAGTCACGGGGCCAAAACCAGAGTGTGGAGCCACAGTGTGGCGGTGGAGGCAGCAGCAATGGGAGGCCATACAGCACCCTATGACAAAATGGAACCCACCAGCAGTGTGTGAGGAGACCTGAAAGTGGCACATGGCAGAGTGTGGCGATGGAGACAGCAGCAATGGGAGGCCGTACAGGGACCCATGACACACTCTGGACCTGGCAGCAGCATGAGGAGGCGGTACAGGGGCCCATGACAGATTACGGGCCTGGCAGCAGCATGAGGAGTCGGTACGGGGGCCCATGGCAGATTACGGGCCTGGCAGCAGCAATGGGAGCCATACAGCACCCTATGACAAAATGGAACCCACCAGCAGTGTGAAGAGACCTGAAAGTGGCACATGGCAGAGTGTGGCGATGGAGACAGCAGCAATGGGAGGCCGTACAGGGACGCATGACACACTCTGGACCTGGCAGCAGCATGAGGAGGCGGTACAGGGGCCCATGACAGATTACGGGCCTGGCAGCAGCATGAGGAGTTGGTACGGGGGCCCATGGCAGATTACGGGCCTGGCAGCAGCAATGGGAGGCCGTACAGGGACCCATGACACACTCTGGACCTGGCAGCAGCATGAGGAGGCGGTACAGGGGCCCATGACAGATTACGGGCCTGGCTGGCAGCAGCATGAGGAGTCGGTACGGGGGCCCATGGCAGATTACAGGCCTGGCAGCAGCAATGGGAGGCCCGTAATCTGCCAGCACCCTATGACAAAATGGAACCCACCAGCATTGTGAGGAGACCTGAAAGTGGCACATGGCAGAGTGTGGCGATGGAGACAGCAGCAATGGGAGGCCGTACAGGGACCCATGACACACTCTGGACCTGGCAGCAGCATGAGGAGGCGGTACAGGGTCCCATGACAGATTACGGGCCTGGCAGCAGCATGAGGAGTCGGTACGGGGGCCCATGGCAGATTACGGGCCTGTCAGCAGCAATGGGAGGCCGTACAGGGACCCATGACACACTCTGGACCTGGCAGCAGCATGAGGAGGCGGTACAGGGGCCCATGACAGATTACGGGCCTGGCAGCAGCATGAGGAGTCGGTACGGGGGCCCATGGCAGATTACGGGCCTGGCAGCAGCAATGGGAGGCCCGTAATCTGCCAGCACCCTATGACAAAATGGAACCCACCAGCAGTGTGAGGAGACCTGAAAGTGGCACATGGCAGAGTGTGGCGATGGAGACAGCAGCAATGGGAGGCCGTACAGGGACCCATGACACACTCTGGACCTGGCAGCAGCATGAGGAGGCGGTACAGGGGCCCATGACAGATTACGGGCCTGGCAGCAGCATGAGGAGTCGGTACGGGGGCCCATGGCAGATTACGGGCCTGGCAGCAGCAATGGGAGGCCCGTAATCTGCCAGCACCCTATGACAAAATGGAACCCACCAGCAGTGTGAGGAGACCTGAAAGTGGCACATGGCAGAGTGTGGTGATGGAGACAGCAGCAGCAATGGGAGGCCGTACAGGGACCCATGACACACTCTGGACCTGGCAGCAGCATGAGGAGGCGGTACAGGGGCCCATGACAGATTACGGGCCTGGCAGCAGCAGCATGAGGAGTCGGTACGGGGGCCCATGGCAGATTACGGGCCTGGCAGCAGCAATGGGAGGCCCGTAATCTGCCAGCACCCTATGACAAAATGGAACCCACCAGCAGTGTGAGGAGACCTGAAAGTGGCACATGGCAGAGTGTGGTGATGGAGACAGCAGCAATGGGAGGCCGTACAGGGACCCATGACACACTCTGGACCTGGCAGCAGCATGAGGAGGCAGTACAGGGGCCCATGACAGATTACGGGCCTGGCAGCAGCATGAGGAGTCGGTACGGGGGCCCATGGCAGATTACGGGCCTGGCAGCAGCAATGGGAGGCCCGTAATCTGCCAGCACCCTATGACAAAATGGAACCCACCAGCAGTGTGAGGAGACCTGAAAGTGGCACATGGCAGAGTGTGGCGATGGAGACAGCAGCAATGGGAGGCCGTACAGGGACTCATGACACACTCTGGACCTGGCAGCAGCAAGAGGAGGCGGTACAGGGGCCCATGGCAGAGTGGCGAAGCGTAAGCAGCTTAAATTGAAGGCCATACAGAGGCCTATGTTAAAAATAATAACATGTTTGGGGCATGATTCATGGCGGATTTAGTCAGTTGTGTCAGGAACTGGTGGTTTGAAATCCAGACTAATCCACGCCTGATTCATTTTCACAAACGTGAGTCTCTCCACACTTTGGGTGGACAGTCGTGTCTTCCGCGGAGTTACAATACCTCCTGCCGCACTAAACACGCGCTCCGATGCCACGCTACTGGCCGGGCATGACAGCCTTTCAAGGGCAAATTCAGCTAGTTGGGGCCAAAGGTCAAGTTTCGTTGCCCAGTAGTCAAGGGGATTGTCTACCTCGGTTGGCAGGGTGCTGTCCAAGTAGGCCCAAGCCTGTTGTTTGAGGTCCTGCTCCAGGTCCACCTGATGCTGCTGCTGCTGCGGCTGGTTAGTAGTTTCCTCACTGCGCTGGTGAAGAAAGCTACTCATCATCGACTGCAGACTGAGGCAGCCGCTGCTGGTGGAGCTGCCACTGCTCCTACCACCCCACCCCTCCCCTGCTGCCATGGCAGCGGAACGCGAGCGCACAGGGCCCACAGTGTCTGAGGATGGACGTTGGCGCAGAAAGGCAGAGACCAACTGACTACATAGGTGGTTTTTTATAGTACGTTATTTTGGCCTCCCTCTCAGCAGGTGTGAAAAAGGCCACCATTTTTGAACGGTAGCGAGGGTCCAACAAGGTGGACAGCCAAAAGTCATCCCTCTGTCTGATGGTTATTATTCGGCTGTCGCTACGCAAGCAACCGAGCATGCTATGGGCCATTTGTGCCAAGGAATGCGAGGGACTCCCTGCCTCCATCTCCACAGCATACTGCCACGGTGCGTCTGGGTCCTCTGTCTCCTCCTCCTCCTCTACCAGATGCTCCTGCTCCTCCACTCCTGTCCGCTGAGTGGAAAAACCACCCATTTCACTCAATAATTCCTGAGCACCAATGTCCTCCTCTACCTCCTCCTCTTCTTCCTGTCCTGCCCCCACAGGGGTCATGTGGTGTTGAGATCTGTGCGCCACGTCTACCGCACCCTGACCAGCCATTGTTAACAGCATTTGTTCAAGGACGTGCAACAGAGGAATGACGTCGTTCATCCCATAGTCCTGCCGACTCACGAATAGCGTGGCCTCCTCAAAGGGCCTGAGCAAGCGGCAGGTGTCACGCATGAGCTGCCAATGGCTGACATCTAAGTTACACAGGGGAGTACCTTTATCCGCTTGTAACATCAGGAAATCGGTGATGGCCTTTCGCTGTTCGTAAAGGCGGTCTAACATATGTAGGGTTGAATTCCACCTTGTTGCAACGTCGCAGATCAGGCGATGCTGTGGAATTCCGTTCTGCCACTGCAGCTCAAGGAGGGTGTGCTTTGCGGTGTAGGAATGGCTGAAATGCATGCAAAGTTTACGTGACATTTTAAGGATGTCTTGCAGTGGGATGGTGGATTTTAGGAACCGCTTGACAACCAGATTGAACACGTGAGCCATGCATGGCGCATGGCACAACCTTCCTTGACGCAGAGCAGACACCATGTTCTTTCCGTTGTCAGTCAACATGGTTCCGATTTTCAGTTTGCGCGGAGACAGCCATCTGTCGATTTCTCTGTTCATTACACTCAGAAGTTCCTCCCCTGTGTGACTACGTTCGCCAAGGCATACCAGGTGCAGCACAGCGTGACACCGTTGCGCCCTGCACATGTGATATGCCGGTCGGGTAATGGGACTTGGCACGGGGGTGGCGGCTGAGGACACGGCGGAAGAAGAGGTGGTAGAGGCGGACATCTTTGCTGGACCAAGGACGTGCAAACGTGGAGGCAAAAGCGGCGTGACCTGTCCAAGTTGCTGGTGCGGCTGTGCCGGCACCACGTTCACCCAGTGGGCCGTAAATGACATGTACTGTCCCTGACCGTAGTTACAGCTCCACACGTCGGCGCTGCCGTGCACTTTGGCAGAGACCGACATGCTCAAAGACTGGCCCACCATCTCTTCTACATGTGAATGCAGGGCTGGCACTGCCAGGGCTGGCGAAGAAATGTCGGCTTGGCACTCTCCACTGCGGCTCGGCACAAGCCATCATTTCTCGGAAAGGTGCTGAGTCCACCACTTGGAAAGGGAGGGACTGCAGCACCAGCAACTTGGACAGGGGGACGTTCAGCTTCTGCACCGTCGGGTGCGTGCTCGCAAACTGTTGTCTCTTGGAAACGGATTCCAAGAAAGACTGCTGACGGAATCCGTGAAGAGGAGTAGCAGGAGAAGGAGCATCTGAACGAGCGGAAGATGCCAACGAGCGACAACTCCCCTCAGCAGAGGTGTTGGAGCCTTGACTGGCTGATAGAGGGCGATTGACGTCGGGTGACGGAGCAAGTAATGGAGCGGGTGATGGAGCGGGGGCTGGGGCAGGCAGAACCGCCGTATCTTTATCACGGTTTTCCCAGGCCACCGAATGGCGACGCTGCATATGCTGACGCAACGCTGTAGTCCCAACATGGGCCCCCTGGCCACGCTTGACTTTCTGGCCACATAGTCGACATACGGCTACGTTTACTTCCTCGGGCGGCTTGACGAAAAATTGCCACACTGCCGAGTAGGAAACTTTGCCCCCGCTTCTCCTCACTGGCTGACTGCTACTTCCTCCGTGCACACCGGCACCACTACTGGCCGTGGTGGTAGGCTGCAGTGGAGCTGGTGCTCTACTCCGTGGCCGTTTGCCTCCACTGACACTGCTGCGACCTGCTGCCTCCTGGGCAACCCACCGACTGTTTTGCTCGCTGCCAAGCTGGCACCCTCTTCTCCTGATGATGCGGAAGCAATAGCCTGATGACGACGAGGCTGCCAAGTGCGATCAGCCTCATCATCATCAATTAGGGTCTCCGCCTCACTACTAGCCCCCTCGGCTGCGTGTGGGTCAGGAGACAGACCTGTCTCTAGACCGGCTACCGAGCCACTCTCCTCGCCAGTTACTTCTTCGCCTGGCTGCTGAAGAGGCGGATGTCTCCCCCGTTCCTGACCGCCCTCTGTTAGCTCTTCCTCACTGTACAGTGGGGCTGAGCCCACAGCATGCGATACTTCGCTTGGTGAGGGAACACCAAAGGACAGGGGCAGGTAGAGGACACGTGATTTCAGTGGGCTTGCTCCCGGGCCATGCCAACTAACGGTTGTGTCTGACGTACCCACCGACCGTTGGCTGTAGGTGTCAGAGGTGACCTGGGAGGAGGAAGACGACCGAGCCAACCAATCGATGACGGCAGGGTTGTCGGTGGAGACACGACCGCTGGATGACACCGGGAGCACTGGCCTCTGGCTGCGACTAGTGCTGCCTCGACCCCTTCCTCTGCTGCCACGTCTGCTCGCTCCTG